ATGCTCCTGCCTTATGGTCTTTGCACTGACTGCTCTCTCTGCCTGGAATGTTCTTCCCCTAGATATCTATATGGCTGAACTCCCTCATTTGCTTTAAGTCTTTGTTCAAATATTACTTTCTCAATAAGGCCTAACCATGCCATCATATTTTAAATTGAATCCCCTGATCTATTTATCCTTCTTTCTCTGTTCTATTTTTCCATTGTACTTATCACCTTCAAACATATTATATAATCTATGTTTATCACTTATGGTCTGTCTCTCCCAGCTTGAATGTAAGTTCCACAAGGATCTTTGTCTTCCTTGTTCCATGATTTATCTCAAGTACCTAGAACAGTGCCAAGCACTTAATAGAAGCTCAAAAAAATTGCTATATGAATGAACAAAAATAAATATTAATAAATGAATTTATGAAAAAGGGCTGTAACATATATATTCTCAACACTTCTTTTTAAATAGTTAACTTTTCAAGTAGGTTAGGAATAAAAATTCTTAATTTTACTGGCTCTTACAAAAAAGTCAGGTCTGTTTTTGCTAAGTGGGAAGAATTTAATGGAGTGCATTATCTGACACTTGTCTCTCCGCAAACTTAAGATAGATAAAATAGATATTTAGAATTACGTTTTATATATCAAGTAAATGACATAATTTATTGGAGTACTACTCTTCTAAAACATCTATTAATATAATTGAATGTCCACATATCACTATACTAGCAAACTATTTTTGAATCATTAATTCAACAAAAAATCTACACTCACATTCAATTTTAAAAGATATTAAAATCAATGAATTTATGTTCATGTGTATCTAATATTTTCACACTGCATTTCCACTCACATCCTTCTGATCAAAACTTAGTAATAGCCATACTAGCTGCAAGGGAAGATAAATGTGGTATGTAGCTGGAAGGACTTATGCTGAACTGAAACTCAATGAGTTCCATTACTGAAATGAAAGGAAGAATGAATGCTGGGAGACAGTGGTCTCTGCTATATTTTCCAATAACTACTTTTTCTGCCCAAGTAAGCCAGACTGTTTCTGTTGCTTTCAACCAACAACCCCTCATCATTCAGATTGTTTAAAGTTATATCAAAGAGAGAAACCTGGAACCACTCTGATTAAGGGAGTTAGTGGGGGGAATACCACACCTTGGAGTCAATGTTGAAAATTACTGTTATATTTATAGTCTTTACATATGAACATAAATTCAATCTGTCATGTCTTGATTTTAATGTCTTTTAAAAATTTTTCATCTATCCAATGTTTGGAAGCCATCTTAAGAGATCAATGCTTCTCAAAGTTGCCTTTTTCCCCCATGTGGCTTATTAAAATGTAAACAAACTTTATTAAGTGAAAAATGTCACAGAAGCAACCAAGATGTCCTTCAGTAGGTGAATGGATATACTCTGGTACATCCATACAATGAAATATTATTCAGTGTCAAAGATAAATTAGCTATCGAGCCATGAAAAGACATGGAAGAAACTTAAATGCATATTACCAAGTGAAAGAAGCCAGTCAGAAAAAGCTACATACCTTATGATTCCAACTGTATGACATTTGAGAAAAGACAATACTATGGAGACAGTAAAAAGACCTATGGTAGCCAGGGGTTGGGGGTGGGAAGGATGAATAGGCAGAGCACAGGGGATTTTTAGTTTAGAGAAACTATTCTATATGATACTGTAATAGTGGATACATGTCATGATAAATTTGCACAAACCCACAGAATGTCTAGCACCAAGAGTGAACCCTAAGTAAACTATGACTTTGGTCGATAGTAACATGTCAACGTAGGCTCATCAATACTAACAAACGTGCCACTCTGGCGGGGGATGTTGATAATGAGGGAGGCTGTGCATGTATTGGGACAGGGAATATATGGAAAATCTCTATGCCTTCTGCTCAATTTTGCTGTGAACCTAACATTGCTGTAAAAAAAATGAAGACTATTTTTTTTAAATGTTATAGAATCAGATGACTCCATATGGGTCCCTATACTTTTAGTAATCTATTTAATATCTAATTATCTTTGACAACTAGACATTATGACAAAATTAAACATTATACAATAAATTTGTGTGCTTCTCAAAATGCTGAACCTAGCATTTTCTATATTCTTTACTATTTCAGCTTTCGGTTTTTGTAAGTGCTTTCATTAGGAAAGGGGAACGGTTGGCTTTAATGGTGCCATCTATCCTTAACATATACTCCTACAAAATTTGGAAAAATGTCTCAAATAGTAAAAAGATGAAAGCAGATGGTTAAGAAAGAATTATGGTGTGTGTCTGTAGTCCCAGCTACTGAGGAGGCTGAGGCAGGAGGATCACTTGAGCCCAGGAGTTCAGGTCCAGCATGGTCAACATAGGAAGGTGAAAAAAAAAAAGAAAGAAAGAAAGGAAAGAAGGAAGGAAGGGAGGAAGAGAAGGGGGGAGGGGAGGAGGAGAAGAGAGGAGAGAGGAAAGAAAAAGATAAGAAAGTTGGGGGGTGGGTAGCACCAGAGAACAAAGTGATGGTTGAGCAGAAGTCTTACAGGTACTTCATAGAAAAACTAAAATAAACAAAGACCAGGTGGGACAAGTCTGAGAGAAATGTCAGGAAGGCAACCCAAGACTTAATATAAAGATAGGCTTTTCCTCTGTGTTTACTTAATAAAATCCTAGTTTCTAGAGGGTGATGCTCATTTTTTAAAAATATATACTAGTGTAGAGCCAAACAGAATAAGTAAAGTCAACCAACATCAAAGGATAAAATATAATGGGGGTAACAACAATCTGTTATTCTAAACGAAAGAATCCAGTTCCAAATAACACGTTGTATAAAAATGCCAGATTTTTAATCTCATAAAGATTGCTTCTGCAGCCCTCTTTTTTAAACATCTCTAGGTCTTTGAGTTCCATTCATCCTAGAAGCAAATCTTTCTCTTCTTTATATCTCACTGATTTCTCCCCATTCCACATATATGAAATAAAAACATCATTTTCTCCCTAATGGTTTTCATCACAATCCCACCTACATTTGCCTATGCTTCCTTAAATACACAATCGGGACCAAGTTTGAGGCACAAAATAAGCAACCTGCACATTATTCATCTTAAAAATAGCATACTCTCTCATTTACCAAGCCCTATACCCTAAAAATACTCAGATCAATTCCCTAATTATTAAGAATTGTTAATAGTATAAAAATTTGTCTGATTTATATATATTTTATAATTTATAAAGTATTTTCACATTAGTCTCAATTTAAAATATATGTATATATACAAATATGTGTGTATATTTATAACATACATATTTCTTAGACTATTCATATTACCACTTTACTTTAAAAGTGAACATATTTCACTTTTTCAGTGAAATATTTCCAGTATTTGCTTCCTTATTTCCATTTGCTTATAGACATATTGGATGTAGGAATTCTTATGATATGGGGCATTACCAATGAAAAGAACAAAATGTGAAAAGGCCAATAAACAAAGGCTGGAAAAACAAAATATAATATTTTGAACCAGATCTATATTACAAGACCCCCATAAAATGAAGCATTTCAATGAAGGACTAATAAAATTAAATAAAAAATAGAAAAGGAACAGAGATGTTCATAGAGAATGTTATACAAATGTATTCCTCGTTAGCTTTGAAGACTATTGAAATGAGATGCAGAATAATAGCAGTTGAAGGCTAGTTTGAAAAACACTGTGTCTATGAACAACACTTCTATTTCTTAGGCCTTAACTTAAATATAATATTAATGTACCATTCCTTCCATAGAAAAAGAAGTTATTTAAGTTTCAAGATATAAATTTTTAAAATTATATCTCAAGGCACTTTGGAGGGGAAGAAAAGTCACAAATGATTAAAATAGCCACTTAAAACGTCCCTATAATAACATTTAGAAATTTGTATCTGTTATAATCATACTAGGTAATCAAATTTCAATTTAATGAGAAATCACTGATACTTTGTATAGTCAGCATATCTAATATTTTTAATGAGATAACAGGCATAATTTACACAAAATAATTTCTCTAAATAAGTACTTAGCATACTCAATAACTTTTTTAAAAAATTTCATCTCAAGAATAACGAATACACCTACATGCAGAGCACATTCTTTTTGGTCTTTACTTAAGTCTGAGATGAACTATTGCTATTATTTGCTACACTATATTACAATAACACATGATCATATACCTTTAGTTACCCAATTATTCAAAGTTCCCTCTATCAACAAGATTAATATATTGTCACAAAGGAAGCTCTCAATATGTAAATATAATCAGCAAAAAGTAACTTCTGGGTGGATAGGTATATGGATAATTAGATCCATCTCTTAATTTAATTCCACAATGACAAAATTTATGATTTTATACTCAGATACAACAGTAAGGAAAAACTCTTCGATGTAGTCTCAAGTTAATCTTTGATGATAGGTTTAGAAATTGTTTTAGAAATTCTTTCCAAGGAATCTTACTTTTGCAATGGGCAGTTAAAATACCCTATCTTTTAAATGTTTTTTAAAATAGTCTATGTTCTTTTTAAAACAACCACAAGATGTCAGTCTTTCCTAAGAAATAAGTTAATATACTGCAGTACCTTGAGCATTTCTTTTTGTAACATACCATTTATGTTACCCTTATAAATCAAATTTGACTGTGCCACATGTTAAATCCAGTGAATTCATCAAATTATGGGGGATTCAACAAAGAATTACAGAAGATCATAATGACCATATACCTACAATTCAAAGAGTTTCACATGTAACTTAATTTAATCCTTGAAATAGCATATAGGCAAAATCTTTACCAATTCTATTTGTGAGAAAGCAAATTATTAAGAACTTGATTGTTAATCACAACATTCTAGAAATAAAAGCTAACACATGAGATTTGGGTGTGCAAACTATAACAAAACAAATGAGTACGTAATTTGTATTAATCTATTAGACATATGAATCAACACCGTTTCAAAAGCCATTACATTGTATGTGCTTACCTTGCCAACTATCATTGCAGACACACAATTTTTCTCCTGTTAGATCACAGTAGCCATGATCTGGACTGCCGCAATTGGCTTTACAGTAAGGAATATCACAAGCTTCACCCTTCCAGTATTTATCACATTCACAATATACTTGACTTGGAACAGAGATACTAGTTGTACACTTCCCATGACCAGAGCAATTGTTAGGACAAGAATTGATTCTGTAAAATATAATTCATATGTATTCAAATTTAAGATAATTGAAAAAGAATTTTGGTTGATATTTTTTAAACTTTAAAATTTTTATGTTGTGTCTTATATGTTTATAAATATAACACAATTTCACAATGTGATTTCAATTCTTTATTCTGTACCCTTTTACTCTAAAGCAATTCTGTTAGTATTTATTTGCAATTGGTCTTAGTTTATTCAGAGAATTTACTTTGCTACCAAGACTCCAAACATCTAAGGACTACACACTCAACACCTGCAGGATCTATACAGCTCCAAGCAAAATGCTTTGTACAGACTTAAGTACTCAAATGTTTTGAATATATATTTTACAGAAATAAATTAAATTCATGAATACCAAACTATATGAGAAGTCAAGATACAACTTGGTTGTATAATATTTAAAGAGTATGCTGTCACTATATATTCTTACGTTAGAAAAGGAATGTTTACCACATTTAGCTTTAAGACTCTTTAAGTGATTACATTCTCCTGTATATTTATTCTCCTTTGTGTACATGCTTGTATATCTACTTATATAAATAAATTCTATAATAAATTGCTGATTCAGGATATTTGGAATATCTTATTCTTGATGAAAAACTCTCTGGTTATCAATTTCTACATTCACAAAGAAAAGAAAAAAATTAATGTATACAGTTCCTCTCTGGCCATTCCTGTGAAAGAATCTGAAAGCATCTCTGGCCACCTGACTTCACCCTTGGACTTCTACATAAAAATTTATATAAAGTATCAGACATATCATAAATTCTCAATGAATAGTTTTTCTTATTTTAGAAAAGACAGTGGTATAGCCATTTAACTTATCTCTTAAGCTTCAATTTCCTCAAGTGTAAATGAGAGAAAAACCCACTTGACAGAATTATTGTGAAGGGAATTAAATGACATAATGTATATATAACATCCAGTATAGTCTCTGCAATAGAAAAGGACTATGAAAACTTAGCTCTCATATCCTTCTTCAAATTACAAGTGAAATAACTTAGAGCACGGAAAGGCAGTTTAGGACTCCCTGCAATCCCACATATCTGTTGCTACCAGTCAAGTTACACTAGTTTGTATTGTTTAATTAATCATTTGTCAACAACTAATTTTAAATTTTGTAATTAATTTTCAACCAAACTTAATTTGCTACCATATTGTTCTCAGAGATTATTCTAGGCTTGATAGCATTTTGTGGCATATTAAGATTTTATGTCACTTAAGAAGGGATCATATATACCAACTTGAAATTTAACATACTAGCCTGCTCCTGGTATATAAGACATTTATAAAAATAATAAACTTTTAAGTCAAATTACAAGAATCATTAAAAGACAACCTTTAAAAAATACTCACGAATAGAAAATGTTGAAACCAGTTAGATTATATGCAGCATCGCTAAAAAAATGTAACAGTGCATAGCCAGATGTTGTAACAACTTCAGGCACGGTTTCATTTCCCCTTATTTCAGGGACTATCAAACCACTAAAAGAGAACAAAATTAAACACTGTGTATCAATATACATATGACTATTAACCATATAAAATCTACTCAAAAATATTCTTATCAGGATCATCAATTCATATACATTAGAATGGGCAACTAGAAGGAGAATAAATCTAAAATAAGCTCCTATCCATTTCTCACCCAATTAGTTCTACTACTGCTGCCAATACACTAACATCTACTCTCATGCCACCACACCCCTTTTTTTTCGTGTCACTATTTGGACTGCAATGTCCCATCCCTCCCTTTGGTCCTGCTATCTATCCTATCATAACACTGCAGGGTGGTCTTCTACTTAACTTGTATATAAAACCTCACTTAAAGCCACCTTGCTACTCTTAACAAGTGATTTTATACCTTTACTTTTTCCCATTGGTTGCAAATTCTGACCAAGCCAAAAGGAACACTCCCCTCCAGCTAAGTGATTACAATGACATTCTAGTTAAAGTTATACATTTCCAATATACTGATCTAGGTGTTTTGGGTAATTTAAAAATATGAACTTTTTATGTTTCTTTAAAATTTTGTATAGTTATGCAAATTGCATTAATATATAGCTATTCCAAAATAGAATATTGCTCACTTAAGACCATATGCATACAAGAGAAAACTACCTTGGGGAAAGGAGCGATATAAATGTTCAAAAGCAAGAATTCTAAGTTAATAGTTTTTACTAACTTGTACTTTTTAAGCCTACTTGTTCATGGGTACAATTACTTATCTTCATTTAGTTATATTATTCTACCCTCTATAAATCTGTGAAAACATGCAATAGGAAAACAAAAAGCTGCTAACAAACAAATTATGCAGCTCAAAATAGTCAATTCCTTTAGACAGAGTTAAACTTATGTTTAGGCATCACTAGTCCCAGTTCTCATAATAGATACAGCTAGCCTCAGATCTCTCTGAAACCAATAAAAAGAACAGATTTGCTTGCTTGCTTGTTGTAAGTATTTTAAAAGCAATAAATGAAAGAAGGTTTCCACTTGTTATATAAAACACCAGGAAATTTGTACCAATGACATCAACTAGTAAAATGACAAAATATATTTTTTAAAAAATCATCTTGAAGGTCCTGGAGAGCTAACAAGATGATATGCCCAGACATTGATGGCATTTCCTATCTGGGCATTTGCTGACTTCAAAGTTGGAAGTGAGATTTGAAGGGCTAAGAAACTGAATGGTACTTTCAAGGGTTTTACAGAGCTAGGGAAACAAAAACAAACCAGGACCCTCACTTTGAACTGGGACCCCAATAACTAGAAGTAAAAGTGAACTACTGAAAGTCAGGACCCTCCAAAGGATTGCAGTGAAGCTTAGGTATGAACCACCTCAATACCTGAGTTTAGATTGAGCTGACTATAGACTGCTACTCTCTGCAGGAATATAAAATCGTTTTAGGCCTCAAAGTACTACTACATATGATACTCCAAACGTGAAGTCCAGCACACAGTTGTTGAGACACAGTAAAAAAAATAATACTTCTTCATTCCAATCTATTATCTACATCCTAAAAAGTCTTGCCTACAGAATAAAAGTCCAATTTCTTTAATGTGGTGTACAAGGAAGCAATATTACAGTGAATAAGGGATTAGAGTCTAGAATTACATAACCTGGACTCATATTCTGACTTAACAGCTAGGTGACTTTGGGCCACTCACAGAATTTCTCTGTGCCTCGATTCTCCATTTATAGAATGGCAATAATAGTACCTAAAGGATTATTGTGAGGATTAAATGAATTACTGCATATAAAGAACTCTTGCACATTGCCTGGCACAAAATGAGCATGCAGTAGATTTACTGATTGCTATTTATTAGGTAATCTGGTTCCTATGTATCCCTTCACATTTCCTGTGATCAAGTTATTCAAAACTTCTTACTATTGTCTTAAAATATAATGTTCTTTAATGTTTCTATACCTTTACACATATGTTTTTCTCTATCTAGAATGCCCTATCTGGCCCCCATACTTTGCCTACCATTCTTGTAATCATGATGAAACTTACCATGAAGGATTAAGTTATTTCTTTTAAAATTTCATAGTACTCTTTCAAAACCTAATCATAACACTTATGCTGTGTGAAAAATCTGTGTCCATGTCCTACTTTGTATTAAATTTGTCTGGCTTTTGTCCCTAGTTCTTAGAATATAACCAATAAATCCTTGGAATCTCTCCAGGGATAGGAATATCTTTGTTACTTATGAGAGTTTATGCCAGTGAGGTGAGTCATGGTGGGCCACTAGATCATTTAGCTGAAGAGATGATTTGGGAGTCACTGCAATGGCCTATATGCCTCATTCCTTACTCCAGGTTTATGATAATCTCTGGAATTCAGTAAGTTATCAAATGTTTATTGAGTAATAAATACTTATACGACTGAAATAATTCAAATATATTTAGATTCTGAATTCTTAGCAAGGTGAAGTACATAGGTTTTTAAATTAGGAGACTGAGGGTCAAGTCCTAATCCTGGCTCTACCATCTATTAAAAATAAATAGTTTCTCTGAGTCCCAACTTTCTCAACTGTAAAATGAGGATAATAGTATTTCCCCTACAAGATATTTGTGAGGATTAGATAACATTTAAATTGTCTAGCACAGTGCCTAACATCAAGCGGATATTCAATAAACATGAGTTTTCTGTCTCCCTCAGGATCACTAACAGGAACACTTGCTAATGAAAATTCACTAGTTCCATCTTCACAGCCATGTACTAAATCCCATCCTGCTAATTATCTTCCTTTAGCAACAGGAAAGGATTGGTAAGAATGTTAATGGATCAGTATTTATTATAATACAAAGTCATTAGAACTACCGGAAAAACAAATGAAAAGGCATACATCTAAATGATGGTCAGTCAATAATGTCATAAAAATAAAGATAGCAAAGTCATGTTTAAAGATAAATGTTTGAACCCAGGATCTTATCTAATTGTAACAATATTGTAATTATCTTACAACATAATTATTCACAAAGCTCCACTCTATTTTCTATCTATTGTCCTGAGATGAAGGGCTATTTGTGGCTATAATTTTTGTAATGTTCAAACGACTCAAAAATGAAATTCTAAAAGTATTTTAAGTAATAGCAATATCCTAAGGATTCACTTTGAAATAGTCATTCAAAAATACAACTCCTTACACATTTGTCAAAAAAAAAATAGTTCACATTCCTGATAAAATGGAAGATTTGCAACATGAATAGTAAAAATAAAAATTGCAATAAAAAATTTTGAGGGGAACAATAAGTCTTTATACTTAAATTTTCAACCATGATACAACATATAAGAAATATCATGCAAATAGCAAAAGTAAAGAATAATGTAATGAGTAATTGGTCAACAATCATGTTAGTTAGTTATACAAAATCTATACTACGTGTACATAATTTTTTCTATGTCTAATAAATTTTCTCCTATTCATAAAACTTTTATAATAATCTGTTACACAGATACATAGAAAAGATTTTTAAGCTGACATTTAAAATGCTATAATTTCAAAAATTAATAATAGTCTGACTACTTAACTACTAACAATGAAATATTTTGAAGCAAACAAAATTCCCACATTTTGAGAATGGGAAGAAATTCCATCTTTATTAACCATTACACAAAGCACAACTTAACTCTTTTATGCAGAATTTAAAATTTCATCATTTCACTAAAATAAAAAGACAACTATTTAAAAATATAAATTTGTGTATTTGTGGTCATCTAGAACTCACCCTAATCTATCCAAATGGATCATTCTGAAAACATATTCAAGCCACTTTAAAGGAATAAACTAAATACAGTGAGAATAAAGAATGTTTATAAAGAAATATATATTTCCAATAGAGTATAGTACTTACCTCTGCTAAATCAATATTTACATAATGATATACACACTTAAATTGGCAGTCACAGCAAACAACATAGCATTGTAATCATTTTTGAAATTTAACCATCAATATCTACACTAAATTTATTTTGGAGTACATATCAATACATTTAAAATTAATAAATTATACATAGTTACCTTTCTAAAACTGATTAAACATAATTACTCACCTAAGTACAGCTATTAAAGGTGCATAAATTGAATCTCCATCATAAACATACATATGATCCCAGCTACATTCTGTAGCAAAATGATTGAATCTTAATCTTAACACTGCATTTGGACTGGAAAAAATATTAAAATATTTTTAAATTAATATATAATATACAAAGCACAGTATGAAGAAATTTTAGGTAAAGTGTCTCATTAAAAATACGTTTACAGATAATTTTGTTATAACTCCTTAAATCACCAGAGTAAAAGATTGATAAACCATATCTGATTTGTAAAAATGAGATAAAACTTTCAAAATCTATTAACAGGTCATATATATGTATCATTATTTTCTAAAATTTAGTCAACAGAAAATGTTCCATGTCTTAAGGTAGAATTTACATAGATTATATACATCACTGAAACCTTAATTGAACTTTACACTCAAAATGGGTACATTTTGTTGTATACAAATTGTACTTAAAAATCATAAAATGGTTCAAAAAGAATTCATATCAATTCATTTATGATCCACTCATGATATGTTTAAATTAATTCAGTTTCAAGCCCTACTTACTAAAAAGTACCTCTAAATGAATAATTAACTCCCTCTTCTACAAAATGTTCTTTTAAAAATAACCTTAGAATTAAAATGCTGAATAGTATGAATTAATAGCATAACACAGCATGAAATATTTTTATACTTTCTATGGAATCTTCAAATTCCATAACAAGATGTGTAAAACAAGCAAAAAATGCCTACTCAATACCATAGTAATATAACTCAAAAACAAAATATGTAAAAATTAACTATTATCACAAGCAAAAGGGTACTGTAATTTATATTAAATGTGATGTCTAACAGTTGTAAATCCCATGTAAAAATGACAATGTTTTCTAATAATAAACAACTATACAACTATAAAGTCATTATACTTTAATGCTTTAACATTAACATGATCACCTTTACCATTTCAGAATAAAATAAATTAATTCAACCCAAAGCGTATACTTACTAGCCTTCAATTAGCCATGTACATTTAGTTTTATACTTATAGTTAATTGGGCCATCTGTTAAATATCCAGAAGGTTCTGTTAACCTAGAAAACAAAATCATGAAAATAATTACCTTAAAGTAACTTTAAGAAATACAGTAGCATAAGAAAATTTAAAAGTCATTAAGAAAAAGTAATGGGACATAGCAATTGCCAAAAAGAGAATTTATTTACAACTTACGAAAATTTCAAATTGCTATATTTTTATCTACATCTCAAAGGATATTTATTTTGGATTTCTTTAAACCTCGATATATCATGGCCATTTCAATTTACGCAGTAGAAAAAGACACTGAAAGATTGAACATTGTACTGATGGGTTCAGTGTTGATGCAAAATAGATTAAGTTAAACATCATCTGCACAAAAATTAGGCTGAGGCAAAAGAAAGAAGATTGAATGCACTTTGGAAGATGCAGATCTATGGAATAGAGAAGCAGTATATGTATGTCCTACTTTGGGGAGTCACCTTGCTAGCTATATTCGATTTGCATGCACCAGGATTGCTAAGGTAGCTGTCACCAGACTTTACAGAGTTCTGCTACCTGTATTTATTATCATTTTCTCTTATCTATTTTATATCTAGTCTAAGAACTTAATCAATATTTAAAATAGGGTAAATCAAAAGGCTTTATGTCTTCTATTTTATACATAAAAAAGGAAAAGATAATTAGAAAAACTTCAGATTTTCAGAATTTAAAAATATTTAAAACAAAAATCTCAGTTCTACATCATTTTGTTCTCCTTACCTCCAGCTCAATTATTTTACCAACAAAAGACTATATTTTAAATAATTATCTTCCCACTCAGCATTTATATACTGTATTTATATATGCATATGCATGTCACAGACAATTGGTCTTTATGTATTCACATAAACATACACACACACACACACACACACACTCATAGATATCAGGATCATTAACTACTTTTAGATAAAATTAAATTTTCCTCATAGTATAGAGCCTTAAAAACATTAGGAGAAAAAATATTTCATTTACCTAAATCAGGGTTGACAGAAAGGTCAGTCAATGTCATATGCAACATGTTCATAATCCTGGAAAATTACTTTGGGTAATAAAGGGACTAATTCATGCTCAAAAAAACTTTTGGAAGAGGAGCGGAGTCAAGATGGCCAATTAGCAACATTGCTTTTCAGATTGTCCGTGCGAGAAGAGAGAATATTGGACTGAGGAAAGTGGAGAGCAGTTATAGCTCAGGTGTGGATCACAGGGAGAGACAACAGAGATGTCTGGAGACCCAACCAAGAAAAACTACAAAGCTGAGAAAGAAGATAGAGAAGAGAAGGCAGCAGTGCAGGCCAAACCCAGAGAGGCTGGAGCCCAGTGAAAGGGTAAGAGGGGCTTCCCCTGCCCCACATAGGTGCCTTCAGTGAGCATCGGGACATAAAACATTTTGGAGGCCTTCTACCTTCCATGAGCCCAGGCACAGCGGCTAAATAGGAAAAATGAGGTAAACCAGCGATCCACAGGAGTTCAGTTGTTCAAAAGGGACACTTTTGCCGGGCGCGGTGGCTCACGCCTGTAATCCTAGCTCTCTGGGAGGCCGAGGTGGGCGGATTGTTTGAGCTCAGGAGTTCGAGACCAGCCTGAGCAAGAGCGAGACCCCGTCTCTACTAAAAATAGAAAGAAATTAATTGGACAACTAAAAATATATAGAAAAAAATTAGCCAGGCATGGTGGTGCATGCCTGTAGTCCCAGCTACTCAGGAGGCTGAGGCAGGAGGATCGCTTGAGCCCAGGAGTTTGAGGTTGCTGTGAGCTAGGCTGACGCCACGGCACTCTAGCCCGGGCAACACAGTGAGACTCTGTCTCAAAAAAAAAAAAAAAAAGGGACACTTTTCAGCATAGTGTCATGACAGATGGGAGTGCTGGCTATCTTACACCTAGACACTTCCTCCTCTGGACCCCCTCCAATCTTGGCACTAGAAAGAGTAATTTTAGCTGGTAGCTATGGCCCCTCCTCACCCCTCTCCCCCACACTGCAACCTCAAGAACATCCTGAACCAAGTAGCACACGAACAAGCTGCATCTCCACAACAGATGCGTATTCCCAGCCAAGCCCACCACTGAGAGCAGGGCCGCCACAATTTGCAAGTTTGCTGCCCACAGTATGTGTCTCAGGATGGTACACTGGCAGCTTGGACAGGCAGACCAGAACTGGTCCCCCCACCCCCAGACATGATAGCAGTGCAGGGAGATGCAGGAGAGAGATCTCGGTCTGGGACACGGGGGTGAGGAAACCCTAACAGACATAACGAACGGGAGAGTGTGGAGGGGCACTGAGGAAGGGGGATCTGTGAGAGTGCCCACCCACCACCCACGCTGGAGAACCACAATATTGGATAGGGGTGCGGTACTTGGGGTGAATTAGCATAGCCCCTGGTTCCCATGACAACCGAAAGCCTTGGGCATGCCACCTGAATAGGAGCAGTGGCCCCTGCCCCTACTCATTACAATAGGGAGTGCAGCTGTAACTGCCTCCATAAGCGAGAAAACATTTTTTATAGTTTTTTTTTTCTTGTAGTTCACTTATGTTTCAAGGTCCCAGGCCAGTAAGATTTGCTGACCAACACTTTGTAACTTTGTTACATTGATGCATTCATTCCCTTTTGAGTTTCTTTCCCAGAAACAGCGGAGCCTCCTTGCAGTCAGGAGATAACTACAAAGCCTTACCCCACCTATTTATCCGAAGAAGACAAGTGATACTCCACCACAGATCATGCCCAACAATCCACTGAGCCTGCACACGAGCTGAAAGAATGACCAATATTAACTCCTAATCCCCACCCTAGGAGGGGCTTATCCACCATTTTTTGATCACAGGACGTACGCACTAACATGATTTCTCACTGCACTTTGTGCCCTGCACTTCACCCCAAACATGTAATGATGCTCGCTCCCCTAATACATTATTCATTTCACCTCCAGAAAAACCCCAGACCCTGTTGATCAAGGAGGCAGATTTGAAGTAGTCCATAACTCCCACCTCCCGATAGACATGTCCACTGAAATAAATCCTTTCTCCCTTGGCAATACTCGTTGTCTCAGTAATTGGCTTTCTGTGCAGAAAGCAACAGTGAACCCCAATTGTGGGTTCGTTAACACACACCTGAGCCAAGAAACTCATGAGCGGCCACTACTCCCAGGCAGGAGAATGGCCCTGGCAGAAGCCCCTGCAGACAGACAAGCCTACCTCTCTCCACTTGGGGTCTTGTGGTGGAACAGGCATGCACAATTGGGGATCCCCGCCAGCATCCCACAAGATGCACACAAGTGTGTCAGATACACAGAATGAGGGGCAGTTCAAGAGCTGATCTCGGGCAGTGAGGGAACTCACGCGAATTGATCTGATGGGAGAGTGCTGTGGAGATACAGGGAGAAAATAGGGTGCCCACCCCACCTAACCCCACAGAGAAACTGTGCTAGTGGACAAGAGTGAGAAGAGCCTGGACCAAAGCCTTAGCTCTCAAGCAATTAGGCCCCTCGCTTAGGAACAGCCTACCCGGCTTGGAAAGATTGCCCTGAACTTCATATCAGCGGCTCCCCCAGTGGCTGGATAAGCAACCTCTGAGATCCACCAAGGCTTTGCAAAGCCTTTCTGGCTCCTGGAATCCAGCTATGATTTGTCTTGCTCCTCCCCCCATCTCAGAGGGAGTAGAGATCAAGCAAACCCCAGGGAGCTACAAGGTCCCTTCTAAAGCTTGGAGCATTCATATGCCCCACCTGGGGGACCAGAGCTAACCATGGGCACAAGAGACAATCTCAGCAGCTGGCTCTTCTATACAACCATCAATCAATGACAGGAAGAACAACGCCATAGCTAAACATGTTTAGCAGTTGTGGTATCTGGGCTCTGACTTTTAACTTTTGGGTGATTTTACACTGCCGGGTGTCTATTGTTCTGATCCTTGTATAATGTGGTTCTGTTTACTTCCTGCAGGCCAGGTCTGGTCTTGACAGATTCCCTCAGTGTTTACTTGTCTGAGAAAGTCTTTATTTCTCCCTCATAAGAAACTTAGTTTTACAGGATACAGAATTCTAGGCTGGCTATTACTCTGTTTGAGGAGACTAAGAATAGGGCCCCAGTCCCTTCTGTCTTGTAAGGTCTCAGTTGAGAAGTCTACAGTTAGTCAGATGGGTTTTCCTTTGTAAGTTACCTGATGCTTTTGCCTTACAGCTCGTAAGGGTGCCTCTTTCATGTTTACTTTGGCCAGTCTGATGACTGGGTATCATGGTGATTGCTTCTTCACAATGAATCTCCCAGGAGTCCTTTGGGCTTCTTATACCTGGATATCTAGATTTTTAGCAAGGCTAGGGAAATTTTCCTCCATTATTGCCTCAAATAGGTTTTCCAACTCTTTTGTATTTTCTTCTTTGCCCTCAGAGATACCTGTGATTGTTATGTGAGGCCTCTTTACATAATCTCATATGTCTTGTAGGTTTTGTTCGTTCCTCTTATTTCTTATTCAACAGAGCAATAAAGTTCTACTCCATAGGATGAACAGAAATCCACCCCATCTATCAATTCTTTCAATAAATGTGAATGGCTTGAACTCCCCACTCGATAGACACAGGCTGGCTGAATGAATAAAAAAATACAAGCCAAGTATCTGCTGTCTCCAGGAAACACATCTAACCCACAAGGACTCATTCAGACTCAAGGTGAAGGGATGGAAAACAATATTCCATGCAAATGGAAACCAAAAGAAATCTGAGGTACCCAGTCTCATACAGACTTCAAACTAGCAAAAGACAACTTAAAAAGCTAAAGATTTTAAAAGCATCTTATAAGTAACACAATGACAAAATCTACCAAGCCAAGATCCAGAAATTGCAAATTCTTTAAGAGGAGCAAGGCATTCAGAACTGCTTTTGCCCTGGAGAGATTTGCCTATTTAAAGGAGACTTCAAAAAGGCTGAGAGTGCAATTCAGCAACCTCAAGGAAGGATGGGGGTCAAAAGTTGGAGGCAATGGCCCTCAAGATGTAGGGGCTCAAATAAACAACATAGCATTTTGACT